ATGGAGTGAGATAGTGTATAGTGATAAGTGATATAGTTGAGTGAGTGTACTAGTATACTATTATATATATATATTATAGTAGATATATATATAATGTGTATAAGATGGCTGACTCGTGTTGGGTTCTTGGTTGCTATACGAGTTGGCTTTTGCATGTGCGTGTGCGTTGGCATTGACTGTATGTGGTCCTGTTCGGGGAATGCAGCTCTCTGGTCGGAATGTTTGAAGGAATAGGTTGTTCGGTGAGGCCATTGCGCAGTACGCATGTGGAGGAGAATACGAGACGAACGGGGTTGGGGAAAGATATGAGAGAGAAGAGAGATATGAGAATGAGAGAAGAGAGAAGAGAAGTATAGATAGAGAGATGAGAGAGAGAGTGAAGAGATGATGGAAGAAGAGATGAAGGAGAGAGAGAGAGAGGACCCCTGCATGTGAATGACTTGTTGGAGTGTGCGGCGCTCGTCAGCGAATCCATTTCGAGAGGTGATTGCAGTGCCTGCGTTTCGAGAATGCAGCTGCAGAGCGGGTCTCTTCTTGTTCTCTTTCTCTGCCGACCGTCGTGAAATATGCATCTCGTTGAACTCTTCATCTCGCTCTTTTCTTTTAGTGCTTCTCTCTCTCTCTCTCTCTCTCTCTACTCTCTCTCTCTTCTCTCTCTCTCTCTTCTCTCTTCTTCATCTCTCTCTCTCTACTCTCATCTCTCTCTCTCTCTCTCCCTCCCCCTCTCTCTCATCTTACTCATCTCTCCCTCTCCTTCTCCCTCTTACCCTATATCTTCTCGCTCTCCCTCTCCTCATACTTCTCCTAACCTTCCCTCTCCCTCTCCCCTCTCCCGTCATTACCTTCCTTAATTCTCTTCTCTCCCATCTCTCCTTCATGGCCCTCTCCCTCTCCCTTTCTTCCCTCCCCCTCTTACTCTCTCTCTCTTCCTCTCTCTCATTCTTCTCTCCTTCTCTCATCTTCTTACTCTCTCTCTCCTCTACTCTCTCTCTCTCTCTCTTCTCTCTTCTCATTAATCTTACTATCTTCTTCCTTTACTCTCTCTTCTCTCTCTCCCTCTACCTCTCCATCGTATTTCCATTTCTTCTCCTTATATTTCCCCCTCCTTCCTCTCCTTCTATATGCTCTTTCTTCACTCCTTATCCACACCCCTAATTCCTCCCCCTATTCCGCCTCCCTTCCTCCATCCTCTCTCTTATTATATCCTTCATACGGCCTCGCTTCCTCCCTCCTGCCCGCGCTAGTGTGATTTGCCGGCCCTCCATGGATGCATTTTTCCCCCTCATATTATCCTGTCTACGGGTACGCATTTAATTAAGTGGCAGCGTTGGTTGAACAGCCCATCGCGGGACCCCTACGTTACCTATTCAGCGGCAAGTCATTTTATGCCTTTGTCTTGTTATCCGCCCCACACTTTTCTCCTTCGCGTGGCCTTTCTCTCTCGTCTTTCTTAGTTTTTTTTTTTATATTGTTTTATTGGTTACTTCTCTTCTTTATTTTCGTATTTTTGTGTTGTTGTTTTTATTTGTTTTTTATTTTTTTTATTATTTTTTTTAGAAGTGGGAGCATATGTAACAAATGCGTTAAGATAGCAATCCATTCGACCCTGGCGCTTTAAAAATAGCTAGGGGTAACTAAAGAAAGCTATGTTCTGAAAGTTTATACTGTAGGTTTGGTCAGCCATGCATTTAAAACACGATCTGGACTTGGAGGGGGTTGGGGTGGGAGTGGGGGTTTATTTGTTTTCCTTTTTTTATGTCTCCTGTGATTGGTTTGGTCTTGGGTTATTTATTTTTTTATTCTCTCCACTTTTTTTCTTCTGCTGTTTTTTTTTTCCTTTATTCAATAGTTTCCTGTTCGTGTTTTCTTTTCTTCTTTTTTGTTTACCCTTTCTTGTTTCGTCCATTCTTCTTTTGATTGTCCTTTCTTGTGTTTGTTTTTTGTGTTTCTCTCTCTCTCTCTCTCTCTCTCTCTCTCTCTCTCTCTCTCTTCTTTCTCTCGTCTCTCTCTCTCTCTCTGTCTCTTATCTATCTATCTATCTATCTATCTATCTCTCCTCTCTCTCTCTCTCTCTCTCTCTCTCTCTCCTCTCTCTCTCTCTCTCTCTCTCTCTCTCTCTCTCTCTCTCTCTCTCTCTCTCTCTCTCTCTCTCCAGCGCATAGTGATTTTTCGCGTGTGTCTAGTTTACCGAAGCTTTTGCCTCGTGTTTCTCATGGAAGTTGTGCTGGCGGTCCTTCCCTTGAAGTTTGTGCCCTTCTCCTTTCTCTCTTCGTTTTCTTTGTCTTGTTTTCCACTCACCCTTCTCTCTCTTTCCTTCGGTCTTCGTTCTCCTTTTGTTTGGCCTCAGAGTAATTTGCCTTTTGTTGTGGCTGGTTCCGCTCCGTATCTCTTCCTTGTTTCTTCTCTCGCCAGATCCTCTCGACCTCTCGCTTACCAGTGGTTCCTCGCCATGACGAGATAAGAGAAGATCACGTGAGTTGTCCAGAAGGAGGAGGATTACAGCACGGGAATAGAGAGACCTCGTAATGATTGACACGAGAGAGAGAAGTATACGAGAGGGGGAGGGGAGAGGAAGCGAGAGAAAGGGATGAAGAGAAGGAGAGGGAGGGGGAGAGGGAGGGATGCGAGGAGCAAGAGAGTGAGATGACGGAGAGGAGATAGTCAAACGAGACTAGAGAGACGCAAGGAGAGAGAGGAGAGAGACCGTGATGGCGAAGGAGTGAGTCCGCGAGAGCGATACGAGAGAGGAGACGAGAGAGGGAGAGAGAGAGAGAGAGAGATTTTGCTATGAGAGGAGAAGTGAGAGAGTGAGTAAGTGATGAGAGTGAATAAAAACAGGAGGAGGCAATGTATGCAAATGTCAAACAAGCATGCAGAAATATAAATAACCTGTAAGGGGGGGGGAAAAAACAAATCATGTGTATTTCATTCTTCTCATATTTTAGTTATGGTTTATGCCTCAAAAACATGACAGTAACCCTACGCGAATTCTAAGCAATCCGCGAATCAGAATATCTTGTTTAACCTTCGTATTATGTTGTGTATTTGATCAATTAATTGAATAAATGTATGGTTTTCTATCGCTGGTGTAACGTGCGTTTACCTGATGTTTATCTTTCTGTTTTTCACAGGTACGTTTCGAGTCTAGACGATGTCGAGAAAGAGCAAGGAAGGAGAGATAGGCATGACTCTTCCGGTAAGTGACACGAAATGCGAATGAAATGGGCCGCGAATTCTGCGGAGGCGCCACGCCACGTTTCACAACAAACCGCGTCAAGGCAGAATCTCGGAGTCCTCCTTATGCGCGCGGGTGCAGAGGACTCCCGGTTGCGCAACTGGTGGAGGAGGCGGTGAATAGGAGGAGGAGGAGGAGGATGCTGTAACACGGAGGGTTATCCCGGGACCTGTATCAATACGCTGTCTGACCAGTGACCCCCCTGGTGCCCCCTCCCCCTCCCTCGACAGGCACGACCCGAGCCAGCCGTTCCTCACCCTGTCAGGGGCGACCGCAGGCCACGCTCAGGAACCCCCGCGAGACCGTATGACGGATGAGTGTGCAAGGCCTCCTCGGGGCAATTAAGGCGCTAAAACGGCAAAACACATCTTGAAGAAAGGGGCAGAAATGACTGTCAGTGCCTGGGTCTCGTTTTGCCGTTAGTCAAAAGACCATTAGGGTCAAGATACCAGTACCTTCATTAATCATTAGTGTTTAGTGCTGGTATTGATAACAGACACTGTCGTTGAGTGGTACTGATATGAAAATAGTACCTGCAATTAAAAAAGTATTGTCCATATATAAATAAGAGCCGTGGCGGACTTCTTGACTTGCACAGAAGTAACACTGCCGCATACATTGGTCAGGAAGACCAAGATTGCCGACGATCATTTTTGTGATTTAAAAATGCGAACTGCCTCGGGCTGTTGCTCACTCCATAATGTATACATATCGGCACTCTAAAATTCTTATGATTTTCTTACCCACTTTTCCTAATCGAGATGCACTTCAATGCTAAAACACCATTGTAGGAGTTGTGATGAAGAATTCCAGCATTTAATTCGTAGATCATTGGCAGTCTGTTATAGTCATTTGAGAAATGGAATGCAAGATTAAGTGCGTAGTAGTGTTTGTACTGGACTAGCTCGAGACTCAGGCAGCGCCCATTTCGCAAATCTCAACTGAATAGTGTACACGGCGGCTTCAACAACACCGAGACCGTAAATCATTATCTCACCGGGGTGGGCATCACTCCGAGGCGCTGGCGTAGCACCTTTGTAGCAGCGAGTTTAAACGATCTCTCGGAACGTAAAACGCACTCCGTTTCCAATTGCTCCTAGGGTCTGTTCAAGAAGCTGTTGTTGGGGAATAACGTCCAGTCCTTTTTGTTGGGACATATACTTAGTCGCGCCAAAGAACCGTCTGCCGCGTGCACAGTCCCGTGTTGGTTTGACCCCCAGGTGCTTCTGTTAGAAGACGATGTTTCCGCCTTTCAGTATTGAACGTCTTAAGGGATACTGGATTTCCGTGACATTGCTTCTTGATGTGGACGCTCGCTTCTTCTCTAATACGGCTCTATCCTTCTGCTTCGATGTCCTCCATCCGAAGAAACAGTGTAGCGAATCTCGTGAGTCCTTTTCGAAAGCTTCTCATGCGTTGGGATAGTGCATAATCTCTGGTTGGAAATAACAAATTCACAAAGCGTTAATTCTCACCATATATGCATCTCGCCATAAGTTCCATGTAGACGACGCCTTGCTACATCTCTTCCGACCGCCCGCATGGTCCCGTCCGGGTCCTGTCGCGCACAAAAAGCTCTATTTCGAAGCTGCTGCAGAAATCTGCATCTAAGCGAGCAGTTTGAACACCGTTTCTCTCTCTGGCATCCGTAGAGGACTACGTTCATCAACACCCGAAGTAACAGTATCACATACAGTACAGACTCAACGACTCACATTCACCAACCAGCACTGCTCTAGAGGTCCAGCCCGACCGGCGCCTACTTCACACACACACACACACAGAACGTACGCCTCACAATCCACATCCCACATCCGCGCCACTTTTGCGGAGTATTTCTCAGTAAAAGTGCACGGAGAATCATTATATTGAATAAGTGAGCGTCTCAGTCCAAACTCTATCAAGTTCCTTATCTTATATGAGAAGCGGAAAGCTGATACACGCTTCATACATACCCTCCTACATAGTTAACCTTAGTTAAGCAAATTCTCGCGACCCAATTGGGATAGTCTCTGTTTTTTCCACCGTTGGAGTCATTGCGCGCTGCTGTTAGTCTTCTCGTGTTTTTCGTAACTAGTCGTCTTCCACCAGAGAAACCGCTGTTTTCTCTGCACTCTTCACTCATAGATTCAAGATATCAAAAGCTCACACCGCTCTTGCAAGTCCACTCGCGACAGATACGACATCTCATGGACCAGGTTATAATACACTGTAATCGGATCTCTGCGCATGTAGAGATCGGTACTTTCTAGAGACGTTGACGCTATATATGCGCTACATTCTGATTATAATAATCCGTGCGCGTGCGTCCTTAGGTTTGCCGGGAGGTCCGGTGTCGATAGACGCCGCGCAAACTTAAAGGGCTGGAATACTTTTCACAGCCAATGTACAGCCATTCTCTGGTTAAATTAGGCTTCCTTGGAGTTCAATTTTCGTATCTAGTTACCCTCTAATAATTTGCGGCGGTAGATGTCACATCTCCATGGCCTTTTGCGAGGGGTTCGTTAAACTGATATTGAAGAATTTTCGTATTTACCTGAATCCACAAACATCTACACTGTCGACTATGACTTTTGAGGAGGTTCTACTTTGTGTGCGAGGAAATCTCGACCACCATGAGGGGTGCCATTAAGGTTGAAAGATGTTGCAACAAAGAGAGGCTCGCTCTCGCCCCTTTAGAATACCAGGCGCAGAGTTTTAGAGGCCTCCAGCAGCGTCGATACACTTGTGGAATGTTCGTCCTCTTCATTCCCCTTTTTCGGTCTTCGCTGCTCGAAGAGTAGGATCGTACGAGAATCATGCACTTACTACGATTCGGCGAACAAGAACGAGTCTCTCCGAGCTGGTGAACAAGTGAACAGCTCGCGCACGAAACCATTAACGCACCGAAACTATGCCACGCATGAACATTGAGCATCCACGGAATGAATTATTCTCTGAGATAGGCGAGACCCTCGCAGTATAAAAGACTCGGGACGCACAGAGACAGAGCTGATGTTATGAGCCCTCGAAAATTAAGGTTTACGATGTACGCTGTACCATGGACTAGATCAAGGGAGCCTGATACGGAGCTCGAGACTCGGTGGGAAGTGAACCAACCTGGAATGTACAAAATGTGTTGCACTGTGGCTTAGACACAGACCAGCGGTAGCGACGTCCGTCCCCTGGAGTGATCATGACTTAGTTACAATGTGCGAATGTTGCCTCCGGACACACGTGTAAAGCAAGGCGTACGAACAGGCGCCCCAGTAAATACCTCGAGAGTCATCCCTATTTGATGTGCTCTAGGATAGTATTCACTCTTCTTACAAATATATATCTCTTATGCTCGGAGATGCTAATAATCAATAACTTATGGCCAGAGGAGTAAATCCCTTCCTCTTGCGCGCTCTCGCTGGTTCCTACTTAGACTAAATATTAAGACTCTAACCTATTGAATCTATGCCCTCTGAGGCGTTGAGATCTAAGGCGCTGCTTGTCAACTGCACATCACGCATACAATCGCTAGCTACACGGCGGATAGAATGCATTGTTGTCTGAGGATCATTGTCTATCATATTATTTAGTTTTCGCTTTTGTTTTACTATTTATCTTGTTATTAGTTATCGTCTTGTTTGATGTCGGCTATAAACTAGTATTATAGGGTTGTCAATTATTTTCTCGCCGTACAGCTGGGCATCGGGCCCGTGTGCGGAAGTCGTCATAAGCTGAGGGCTTCCGGCCAACCTCACCCCTGAATGTAATTTATGCGCTAAGACCCTATCTCGGACTAGCTAGTGGGTAAGGTGGGTGTGGGTAGTGCATGGAGGCCGTGCAACTTGGCGATGTTTCGTTGTCTCCGAATATATCTGCTCAGTCGTAAATCGCCTCTTTGCGCTGGCATATGTACTTCGCTCATGCCTATTATCACTTTGATGTTCCATGCATTCTAGACTCGTAGCATACACTCACACTCGATGGGTTGGTCCTGATCTGTCTGCAGCCATTGGCCATTGTTGTTTACTTGGAAAGTACATGAGGTAGTGGAGTATATGAAAAGCTGTGATATTTCAATGCATAGACATATGATGAGATTAGTGTCGCATTAGACTGATGGTCAGATTGCTCGCTAATTCTCACGGTAAGGCGACGAACGCCAGGGAGCTGATCGTTAGCCGTTGCCACTTTAGACCACTCCTCTGGTGGCTTTATTTTTGTGTTTCTTTTTGTCTTCTTATAATAGGCTCCGCGCCGGTCACCAGTGACGGTGAGAACGTGACAAGACATCTTATGTTGCGTGGTGTAGAGTCGTGACTTGCCATAAGCTAAACATGCGTGCTTTGTCGAGGGTTCGCTCATCAGTGTCGTGTCCGTTCCGGTAAATGCTCGTCGCATGCACTTCGCTGCGCACTATCAGTAACGAAGAAACAGCCACAGACACCCCGCGTCTAGCACCGCGCTGTTTAGCTGGGACTCCCCAATGACCTTCTCCTTGCGCATCGATGCACCTTCCGGCGAACCTTGGCGTTCGAATCAGCCAATAAGCTCGCCGGCATATAAAGTGTTAAACCCATGGCCTAGTTGGCACAATTTTTATTTAAGACGTCATCATTCTCGCGGCCATCGCTTGGCTAGACTAAGGCATGTAATCCTCTCTGGTGGTGATTAATCTAACAGCGGCCAATAAAGCGTACTAGTAGATGTCTGTCGGATTTAGCTAAACCGGACTATAGGTATGATCATTGTGATCGCCACAAATTTGTACGTAACCGCGGAGGGCAATATGCTATCGACATCATTTCGTGAGATATGATATGAGTGCATAAATCCTCAGCGGAGGTTTTCAGATATTCTTGAATAGACAATTAGTTAACCGTACTCATGTGAGGCATCTATCTTTTACCTTGGACCCTTACTTATTTCACGACATGTTGGTCAGGATAGAATGCTCGCGTTGTTACGCCGTATAAGCATGACATATG